ATATTGAAGGAAAAAGATGAGGTACTTATGCAGGACCAAATCCATTTAAAAAACTTCTCACAGAAACCTAGCTTTCTACACACTTTAATAACAAAACACCACTCAACCCTATCAAAGGCCTTGGCCATATCAATTTTCAAGGCCATGAATCTTTTTTTACCTCTCTTTTTACTATTTAGATAGTGGAGGCACATTGGCAATAATGACATTGTCTAGAATTTGCCTATCAGGCACAAAAGCAGTCTGATGCTGGGAGATGCAAAATTTAATGACAAGCTTTAATCTACGAGCAAAAATCTTGGAAATCAACCTATAGGTAATAGTACAAAAACTAATAGGGCGAATATTAGAGACAAATTTGGATTTTTGAATTTTGGAATTAAAGTAATAACTGTATGATTGGTAGATTTAGGGATACAACCAGAGATCAAGAATTATTTACAGCTGAACATAGGTCAGATTTGATGGTAGGCCAACAGGATTGAAAAAAAGAAGGTGAAAATCCATCAGTACCTGTGGCTTTACCTGGGTCCACCTCCCACAGAGCATCTTTAAGTTCCTCTTCATTCACAGCTATAGTCAGGTTCTGATTTGTTTCCGATGTAATAGCCACTGGGATCCCAGCCAGAATGTCATCATCCTCAATAGGATTTTCAAATGTGAATAAATGCTTATAGAAAGCAGAAACCTCTTCAACCACTTCTGTCTGAGTTGCACATCTCTCATCAATTCTCTTCACAAGATTTTTAAGACTGTTGCCACTCCTTCTTTGACTCACACATGCTTGAAAAAATCTTTTATTTTGGTCCCCCTCCCATAACCATCTAACTCTGGACTTTTGTTTCCAGAACATTTCCTCACCTTTATATGCTTTATGGAATGTCTCCTTACATTCCTGCCACTCCTCCAGTTCTTGCTTCCACTCTGAAGAGACAATAAGGTAAGCTTTGCATTACATTCCTGTATGAGCGCAGAAGAGTTTGATTGCCTAGTGGATAGCCAACCCAGTAAGCCCATCTTAACATTTCTAAGCTTTTTCTGAAAACTGTACAAGGCAGGTCCTGTGACCCCAACACTCCAAGACTTTGCAATACACTCCTGAAAGCCTTCTTCCTTCACCCATCTAATGTCAAAAGTGAACTTTTTCCTTCTTCTATGCTCTACTCCAATATTATCCATAAGAATGAGGCTATGATCTGAGGAGATGAGGGGACTGTGCTGGACAGTAGCATTTGGGAATTTCAGAAGCCAATCAGGGGACATAAAGATGCTATCAAGTTTGACTTCCACACAGTCAGCTCCTTTCCTATTATTTGACCAAGTGAATGGTTGGCCCAAACTTGGACACTCCACCTAATAGCTGAATAAACTTTCTAAAATTCTGGAAAGAAGCTTCATGCCTAACAATACCCCCACTCTTTTCAGAGTTATTTAGGATATCATTAAAATCTCCTCCTAAAAACCACAGGTTCCTCCAGGAAAGGTGATGTCTAAGCAAGACATCCCATTGACTTTACCTAACAGAAGGGTCCACACTAGCATAGATAAAAACACCCCACATTTTATCAGCATAACCATCTATCATGAAACTAACTTCAAAACTGAAATTACTACTAGTAATATCAAAAACCTGAATCCTAGAAGACCAACACAACAGAAGACCCTCTTTACTACCTATGGGGTTGACATACTCCCACATATCCCCTACTAGCAAATTCTTACAAACAGTTTGGACAAAAGAATTTGATTTTTTAGTTTCAGATAAGAAAGCAAAATCAGTAAGGTAGGCTCTTACATTGTCCTTCAGTTGGGAAATTGTAGAGGGTCCTCCCAAACTTCTACAATTCTACACCAAAGCTTTCATTTGGAAACTTGGGACCAGTTATGGCTGGTTTCCTCCACCACAAAATCAGAAGCAATTTGGACTGTTTTCAGTTTTTAAAGATTAAGTTTGCATTGGTTGCTCATATTTGAAATCCACCCATTGTTCCTCTGCCCCCAACTTTAGATTTGTACCTCGAGGAATGGGTTCTGACACATTTATTTCAGCCAAAACCTTCACAATTCTCCCATGTAAACTCCCCAGACCAGGGCCCAGAACATCATTTACCTTGCCAAAGAGCTTTCCCACTCTCATTTCAGTCTCCTCCGAGATCCAATGAAGAGGTAGATTGTGGATCTGGACCCATAACTCCACTCTAAGCTCATCATCTGTGAAATCAATTTTGTTCCTTTGCAACTCCTTTAACAATAGGTATTGCCCGTCAAAGGACCAAGCTTTACCCCTCAGCACCTTGCATTTGTCCTCATCTGTTTGGAACAGAAATTGGAATAAATTTGCACCCAAGACCCTGATTGAGAACGACTTGATAGTCCTTCAAGCGTGGCTCATAGTGGTTTTCAAACCCCCTAGGTTAATATTCTTCTCGCCAATTATACGCCCAATGAGACTACGCTAACATTCATGGATACCCGGTTCAATATCGGTGTCTTCTAGCGTAATACCACCCTTTTCTTTTTTCGATAACTTGAATCTGAATAACTTATCAGTTATCTCTTGCGCCATGGCTATTTATCAGAACTGAACCAGAGACTTTAGCTGTGAGATCGAACAAAAATACCGAAAAAACGCCTGCAGAGAAAACCCTAGGTTAGGAAAACACAAAATAGGAAAAGAGAGAAAAAGGACAAAGACGCACTACAGGGGGGAAGAGAGAAAAACGGGTAGGAAAAAATAGAAAAAGAAAACGGAGAGAAATCGAAGAAAGATCCAAGAGATTTAGGAGAGGAAGAAAGATCCTCATCTGAGGAACGGGGCCATCTCTAGAGAGAGAAAAAGAACTTTCCAAAGGGGAAAACATGCAATTTCACAAAATACATTTTTTTTTCTACATATTATGTCGTGTGTTTTCTCTAAGAGCACACACAATGCTTTGGTCACTTAAAAAAATATCATATAACGTGTAGGAAATAAATTGTCCATAAGAAAATATTTTTCAGTGCAATTAAAAATTGACATGGTCTAACTTATGTAGCAATAAAAAAATAAGACCAAACCCACTCTTGAGTCTATTTTAAACCCAAGTACAAACATGAACATTCACCATTTATTCATAATTTTATATATCTCTTAATAGAAAAAACATATTAGAACATTTTTATTTGTTGACAGGTATTCTAGAGACCTAGTAATTTATTTTAGCGATGGATAGCTTTTGGAGTTTTTTCTTATTTGGGTTTGAACATGTCAATGAACACATAAGTTCATTTATATACCACATATGTAAAATTAGACCCAATTTATTGTGAGTGCTCTAATACATTTTTTAATCATACTGAGTCCTACTTATTATTTATTATTCACAACATGTCCAGAACTCAACTACGAAAATTATCTTAGCATTTATGAACTGGTTCAGTCTTAACATTTACATATAATTACATAACTACTAATAATTTTATATTCAATTTATAATTAATCCATATTTTTGTGAATAGTTTCAGTTTAAAATTGAACGAGTATATTATGGATAATGACACCTACATAACTTTTATTTTAAAAAATATCTTTTAATTTTGCTGGGATTAAAGATTCATATTTCATTATTGAAAATTACTTTTAGTTAAATATTTATATTATATTCATACCTTTTATCTTTTCATTTTTTACTCGAGTGTTTATAATTAAGAAAGACTAATACTCCTTTTATTACTTTTATATATAATATCAAATTTTTTTGTTTGTTTATATTTTTTATATATAAATATATAATAACAATGTTTCTTGGACTTTTACAAAAATTTAAATTATCCTCTTTTCTATAACTAGTGTGTAGCATGTGCGTTGTACGAGAAACAATATTAAATAATAATTATAAATATATCTCGAGTTTGAGTCATTAAATGGAGGAAGTGAGAACTACTATTGATCTTCTTTAAAAAAAAAAGAAATAGAATAAATATAAATTAAAGAATAAATCAGAAGTCCCACTCTTTTATTGAATTTTTGTCCCGTAAGAATGATTAACTTTATTTGTTCTTAACTTGAGATGAGAGTGAAATAAAATATATATGAGTATTAACTATTAACTATTAAATATTATTATTATTATTATTTTTAATTTCTTATTGGTTCGGTTCGGTAAAACCGAACCTTTATGGTTTCGGAACTGATAACGAACCGATAACAAGTCGGTAACCGATAGTCGGTTACCGTTATAATTGAATCGGTACGGTTCGGTTTTCGATTTTCGGTTAAAAAATGCCAGCCCTATTTCTATCCCCCTATATATAATTTTCGAATGCGCTGAGCCTAAGTAGCAGACTCACACGCTTCGGAATCCTAGGTGACAGATCTTCATAGTTTGTCCTTTGGCTTGGATTAATTTTAATTTATTTGCAATCCAAAATTAACTAGGCTTGAAATATCCATATATATACTGGATATTTATGATCATTTTTAAGAGCATTAATTATGTTTTCATATTAATTCATATTCTAGATGTGATTTATAAGGTACAATTTTTTTCTACTTTTTCCTTCATCTTTCTTTTATAATCATATGAAATTTACCAACATAGATTATAATATATTTAAAAGATAATAAATTTTTTTTATTTATTATCAGATTTATATATATAATATATCAAAATAACCATGTCTTGATGATATTCGATTTCAAATCTATATTGTACATAAAAATAAATAAATAATTATAGTTACCTTAATAATAAAAACTAAACTATATATTAATATTATTGTAAAAAACTATTTAAATTAATTTAACTACAATTTAGTTATATGTATAAGTTAAAATATTATTATAATATAAGAAGTTACGTATAAATGACGAAACATTTACCTGAAGAAAGGGAAATTAAATTTATTAATCATACTTAGTCATGAAAGGAAATTAAAAGCTTGGGCGGACTGAAAACAACAAACAACAACAAACAAAGAGCAACCGAGTTACAAACTCGAAGATAGTATAGGTGGAGTGCCTAGACCCAGTTCTTCCCCTGGAGCTTACGAATGGTATTCTCGTCCAACTGAAAGGCACTGGCAAGATAACCGGTTTGAATGAGAGGGGTGGGCTTGAAAGCGGCGTGCGTTAATACGTTGAGCCCTGGGCTCTGTCGGTTGAAGACACTGAACGCAACTGTATTACCATCTTTCAAAGCATTTCTCTGATAGTGAAGGAGCCCCATAGGTACGTAAAAGACACCACCCTCTGGAATAGTCATGTTGTAGAGTTTATAATAAGGAGAGGAGGTCACAAACCCGACCTCCAACTGTCCTTTGAAGACAATGAAGAGTTCGGTTGCTCTGTGGTGGGTGTGGAGAGGGAAGCTAGCTCCGGGGCCGAGGTCAAGGCGCGTCACGGTCATGCCAAGGGTGTTTCTACCCGGGACAAGAGTGGTGTTGAGTGTGGTGACGGCTAGCTTTAACGGGTTGTCGACGTTGCCAGGCTGGCTGAGGACGTCTGAGAAGAAGTCCTTGCTTGTGGTTTCTAGAGGGTCTTTGCAAGGCAATGGGAGGTTGTCGTATTCTTTTGCTCCCTTACTAAAATCTGCGACGCAGATGTCCTGCGTCGGCATGGGGTCGAAGGCCACGCCTAGGCCGAGTATAATATTCATGATGGCTAACACAAAAAAGATGTTAATGGAGGA